AGTATTTGTCTCTAGCCAGCTGAGCATGCTGAATCAGCAGCTTCAGAACTGCTGGCTTTTTATGGACTGAAGTTTGCAGAGACAGTTTTTAATGCTGGGGAATTCAAGACTTACACAAGCACTGCAGTGTTTTCAAACACTAAAGTGAACAGCTTTATGTGACAATAAGGAGGTAAGGATTTCTGTTCCTTTAAGCTCCTAAGACTAAATGGTTCAATGTAACAGGGAGCCAGAGAGTCCTGTTACTTTATGGGAGGCTGACTGTAGAGCAGCAGACTGCACTGGGGCAGGCATCCAAGCAACCCAGGAGCAGGTCTCCAAGTAGAGCAGAAGGACTAACTGCAGGCAGCTGAGGTCAGCGCAGTGGAGGGACGCAGGCCAGCCATCAAGCCTAAATGTGTGTGGCTGCAGGACCACCTGACAGGAGAGGGTGGGACTTTAGGGGCACATATGGCTAGTACCTGAGAACAGGCAGGCAGTCTATCCCTGAAGGCTGCAGCGAGAAGAGATCCTGAACAGGAGGGCTGCAGGAAAGTGACTGGCTGAGACTTAAGCTACCCTGTAAGGTGCTCAAGGCTTGCAGGGGAATATGACCCAGGGTAGGGAGAAGTTTTGTGGTACAGCCAGTGAGCTGAGATTTATGTCTGGGCCCACTGTGGGGGTAGTTTTCATTGCAGCCAGTGAGATTACTTCTTGTTACAGTTTACACTGGTAAAGCAGAAGTGACTACAAAGGGAAGAGGAGGTCACAAGGGTACCCAAGGGACATGAGGGTGTCTGTCTTGAGCCCTGCCAGGGGCTGGGGCTCATGACGGGCTGGCAGTAGCTGAGAGGGCCCAAGCCTGGGCTGTAGGGGCTGTAGCAATGGCCTGAAGTCAGGGAGGGCTAGGGGCTAGAGCCTGAGAGGGTGAAACCAGAGCCAAGGACCCAGAGCCCAGAGGGGTGAGACAAAGATGGCTTGAAGCCCGGAGGGCTCAGGCCACAGCCCCAGTGGAGCGAAAACCAGAACCAGGGGCCTGAAGCTCAAGAGAGTGACAAGCCCGAGAGGGTGAAACCAGAGCACATGAAGGCAAATCTAGAGCTGGAGAACTGGGGCAGTGGGCCTATGGAAAGTGCCCAACTAGGGAAAGGGGTGGGGGCCAGGAAGGCCAAGGCCCCAGCAGGAGTGCAGAGGTATGAGATGGCCTGGCATTAGCCTGAGGACAAAATGCCCCACTTAAGTGATGACCAGCAATATTTGTGAGGCATAGGTGTGGCTGGAGGGGATGCCAGAGACTATGAAATTAGCCCTTGAGGCAACAAGTGCATCAGAGTACAGACGGCCCCACCTACTGCATGAGGGCAGGAAGGGGATCAGCGGGATTTGGGAGGAACTCACTGACTGGCAGTGGACAAGGGCTCACTTTGGGACCCAGGGGCAGATGAACCAGCATCTACATCAAAGCATGACAGCCAAAGGAAGAGGGAGGGGACTTGGGAGTTGGAGCAAGGCAGGACTTGCGGGGTCACAAGAGGGCATTGTGGCTGCCCCTGGGGCTCAGTCATGCTACATTAATATTTTACAAGATTCCACTGAAAGCTACAACTTGTGCCTGAGAAGTATGTGGAAACTCATGCAGAAGTTGCTCCTGGAGGCATTTTATCTCGGTAGGCACAGTGCCACCCAGAAGCCAGGTGAAGCCCTACAGCTGTTCACTTTTAACCAGGATGTATTGTATGTGATCTTTCCTCTGTGGAATGGTATGGGAGGGGAGTTGCACCAACCTTAGTTATGAAAATAACAGCATCAAAGTTGTTATGAAGTTAAGATCTATTCTCTCCCCTGCTTCCCTGTTATTCAGTAGACCAGTCACCCAAAAAATAAATGAGGTGGGTTTGCCAAGAAAAGATCATGTCATATCAATGTTGGCTGTTTTTCATTTTCTTAGCAATCTTTAATTACCTAGAATACATTATTAAATAATCAATTTGAAGAATTTGGGGGGAAGGGGGACAAAGTTAGTTAGACTGGACTATAAAATTTCACAAATTCTCCGTTTTATTTTTCTTTACAAATAGGCATTATGTTTGCCCCTCTCCAGGCTTCTGGGACTTCCCCTGCCCTCCAAAGGTTCTTGTAGAAAATCACTAAACAATTTAGAGAATATTTTGTCTAGCTTATAGGGCCACCGGCTGCAACTGTGTTCCTCCCTCACCCCTGATTCCTATGGTGGAGGTGGTCAACATTTCCTTAGATGAGGGGAAATCAAAACTGTTTAGAGCAAGTCTAGGTAGCAGTTAGGGAGCCAATGTTTAATGCTCTAGAGCTTGCAGTCCCCACCCGGTCTTAGCAAGAAAACTAAGTCAGTATTATCATGGCATTGGCTCCTGACAGGAGCCAGAATCCTTGATCTTCTCAGGGTATGGTATGAAGTTACCACTCCTGCCCACAGACAATGGAAACACTGAGGCCACCTTTCTTCAGGCTGAAAAAGCATTGTCTTTTGATCTGCTTGGTGCTATTAATGCAGCATACAAAAAACTAGAACTCCTGGTTCCAAAGTGATACCTTTTATAGACCAACTGGAAAATCGCAAGAAAATTGTCCTTTTCTGCAAGCTTTGGGGATCAAAGTCCCTTCATCAGGCTCTGGGAAGTGTAGCTGATACAAGATGGTAAAAAGTCCTGATAGGTAGGAAATAAACTTCATTTTTGCACAGAGGGAGCTGGAGATGGAAGGCTGTCCCTCTGAGTCCATGAGAGTGGACCCAGATTTTAAACTGCATTGCAGAACAACAAGGATGTTTTTTTACCTCCCTGCCTCCCATCTGGCATCTTCAGGAAAGGAATTCTGCCTGATCGACACATCAAAGAGCTACTCAGCACAGCTCACACACTCTCATGGACCCAGTGGGACAGCCTTCCATCTCCAGCTCTCTCTGTGCATAAATGAAGTTTATTTCCTACCTATGGAGACTTTTTACCATCTTGTACCAGCTACACTTTTCCCAGAGCCTGACGAAGGGACTTTGAACCTGAAAGCTTGCAGAAAAGGACAATTTTCTTGTGATTTTCCAGTTGGTCTAATAAAAAGTATAATTTTGGAACCAAGAGTCCTAGTGTTTTGTATGTCTTTTTGTCTCAGCCCAACACAGCTACCAAGTACACCCATTAAAGAAGCACACACTTGAAAACAATCTATCTTATTCTGGCAGCCTTCTTGTGTTTACGGTGCTAACTGGAGTAAAATGTTACAAAGTCTTATTTTAGTTAGATAAATCAGCACACAGCAAGCAAGCAGGTTGCACAAATGCATTTTCTCAGCCTGAGCAGAATGTATAAGGCTTGGCCATTTCTTTATGAGCTAGACTGGGAGTAGAAGTTCTACTTCTGTTCTCATACATACGGAGGTATATGCAAAGTGACTCTATTGAAGTCAATGGATGATATCTTGATTTTGCTAAGAATAATGAGAGTTGTATTATTGACTTCAACAGAGCCAGGATTTCAACTGAAAGAACAGGGCCCAGAGTTTCTAATTTTCATGTTCATGCAATCAAATAAAACATTATTTCAAGAAGAAAATATTTCCCTACTGTTTTAATCTCATACATGCTTTCTCTAAATAGCCTGTTACAGTGATTTATAGAGGCTGATCAATTAAAGAGTCAAACAGATTTTGAAATAGTTATGAGGTATCCCATGCTAACCAAGCCCCATTTACTACCAAGTACTTTTCTGTGAATTAGAACTCCATTTCTTTATTAAAATAATTATATACTGACTGCATAAACCCTGGAAGGCAGATCTTAACTGTGTGATCCAAAGAAACAATCAATCAAAGCAAATTAAACAAAACTAGCAGTATACACCTGCAGCATGACATACCAGGATTTATAGGACCTAATCATAGATGATATACTCTAGTTTTTTGCATTTAAAACTCTTCAGTGGTTAGTTTTGGCATTTTGCTCAAGTTTCATTACAATTGATTGGCTTTATTTCTACTACTGCCTCTCTCCTTTAAAAACAAACTTGATGTGCTTGAAAACTGAAGGGTAATTTTAGTGCAATGTAGATGCAATATGCTTTATAAGATCCAGCTAGTAAAATATCAGAGGCATTCTTTCTTGGCTGGTCTGTCCAAACTCGTTGCTCTAATTTCTCAGCAAATGGATTTATCCAGACAGCTCCATTCACAATGGCTTAAGTGCTTATGATGTTAAGTAAAAGGAAGTGACTTTAAAATCATTAGGATTGTTAAATATTGGCATTTGTATGAACTAATAAGCTTTGTATCATCAAATTGGAAAACATCTGCTGTACAGTGGTATCTATGTCACTAGGAAACAAATGGAAACTTTATGGAATATAAAGCTATTAACTGAAAAACCAAACACTGTATCTTCACTTTTTTTATTCTCATCAACTGCTGTCACACTGTTTCACTGAATTATGAGAATCATTTATTTTTTGACTCCCAGTGGGAAATTTTTATGCTGCATGGCTACATATGAAAACAAGTTATATTCTGGCAAATAAACACTTGCCTTTGGAAAGTTCCTGCTGTACAAACAAAATGTTTTCAAAGCTGCTTACTACAGACGAAGCATACTACACGTCCCACTCATTTTCAATGACTGTAAAGCAGGTTATAAAGCAAACTTAGCCTTTTATGTTATGAATTCCTTTAGAGATACAGGCTCTCAAGGAAACTTATTTAAAACTCTGCATCATCTTTGCGGTATGCGCTTTACCTTTTCTTAACAAGGATCTCAAAACAAAAAGGATTAGAGTAATAGAGAATCTCATTACAGACAGCCTTTTTTGACGTGATACATGATAATTTAAGGGATGTGAGACAGAGTGCCTTACAGCTGATATACATCACTTATGCATACCCCAGGTCTTCTACAAAACTGATCAAGATCATATGTTGACTTGCCAGGCAGTAGCTTGTTTTTCAAAGACAACAGCAAAGCTGCTGTGTGAAAATTGCAACATTTTCCCTTCCCTACTTACAGTTCAGTAGAGTTCCTGGGAATGTCCCTAGGGACATGGATCACCTTGCTCTCCTGACAAATGAATATCCTGTCCAAGCAATGGCACAGGTGATGCTGACATCCAGCACAGCCACCAAGGAAAGCCAGCCAACAAACAAAAATAAAAGACATGTTGATCTTTACATCTGTGCTCTCTTCTCCCTCCTTAAAATCAAGGGCTCCACAGACTTCAACAGTATGACTTGGAATGAGTCCCTCAACTGAGTTTCCGCCTTAAAAGCTGAAGTGAGTCATGTGATTCTGAGGGGGATGACTCTTTTCAAGTTTTAGTTTATGGCCTATGCTTCACAAGAGTCTTAGGGAAGGTGCAAGAAGGAGCTGTATATTAGCAACAAGGACTTCTTATGACAAATGTTATCTTGAGAGTGGTTTTGTGGAAACTGAGGAACCTTAATCAACTGGTCAGCATGCGTGGAGTGTGTTGTATATATGCACTGAAAAATATTCTCTCTCTTCTCCTGTTTTACATGTGTAATTTGAAATGAGGACAAGAAGGGAGTGAAGCCTTTTCACTTTTTGTCATTGCTCTTTGCAAACACTACAGAATTTATGTTTGCATGCTTTCCTTTCTACAGAGTGATGCTAGAGTCTTTGCGCGTGCTTCACTGCTTATTGCAACAAAGGCACAAAAATTGCATGGTAGATTTTTACAGTATTGTTATCTTAAAAAGGATATAGCTCTGAAACCCAAGGCCAAATGATATACTTTTATTTTAACATTCAAAGCTTTCCCACTGTGAGAGCATACATTGAAATCATTTTTTACTTGTCTCCTTTCTTTTTTTTGACATCTTTAGAGAGAGCCTGATGGGAGAGCTTATATGGTCCTTGACAAACAACAATCCACATTTGTCTTCACTCCCCTGTTCCTCTGAAAACAGGCATATGGGGAAGGATACAGGAATGGCTGCTGGAAACAGCAAGAGAAAGAAATTTCAGGAAACAAAACTCTAAGAGAAGGGTCATAGGTCTGTAGGAGAACTTGTCTGTTTACTTTTAGATTATACTGAATGTTTTTCTTACTTGTTAGAAATATTAATCCTTGAGGAAAAGACCTTGCTAATAGTTTAATTTCACTGATCTGTCCTACGCACCAATGCCAGAATATGTCTGCAAGGCACCTGAAAAAGAAATGTACCATATTTACCTAAATTCAGGATTATCCTGACTTTAAGACCCATAGTTAGATTCTAGACATGGAAAATTTATATAAATTTGTTAGTATTTTCCATGTTTGGAACATAATTATTAATGGTTGCCTTAAGGTTGTCCCTACCACCACTGCATCAAGGGAAGCCATGGTAAGGGAGCAGATGGTGGGGCAGGTATTGGGGAAGGGGCAGGCAGCTTTCCCCTTGCCACCTATTTCCCCCACACATACTTATCCCCCTTTATATCTGCCCCCCACAGCCTTGAACCCCTGCTTCACTCCCTGGTCTCCCCTCCATCCCAGTTTTCCTTGTCTTGTCCCCACAATGCTTCTGCTCTGCACCCTACCCCCCGCATCCTCAGGCCCCTGGCCCTGGTTTTCTCCATCCTCCCCCCTCCCACAAAGCATCGGCCTCCTGCTGTCCTGCTCCTTCCTTTCCCTCCACTCCCCTCCCCTCCCCTCCCGTCCAGCCCCTTACCCTTGCTCTCTTGCCCCAGAACCACTGTTGGGGGATGGGAAAACTCCAAGTCGAGCATGCCTGGGGACTGGCACACATAGTTTCATAGTAGGTAGGGTCAGGAGGGACCTGAACAGATCATCAAGCCTGACCCCCTGCCACAGGAAGGAATGAATGCTGGGTTCTCAAGACCCCAGACAGGTGATCATCTAACCTCTTTTTGAATTTGCCCAAGGTAGGGGCAAGGACCACTTCCCTGGGAAGTTGGTTCCAGATTCTGGCCACCCTAACCGTAAAATATTGCCTCCTGATCTCGAACCTAAACCTATTTTCCATCAGCTTATTACCATTGCTCCTTGTCACTCCAGGTGGTTCTGGGGAGAATAGGGCTTTTCCTATTTGCTGATGATCTCCCCTGATGAATTTGTAGGCAGCCACCAGGTCCCCCCCTCAGGCTCCTCTTCCTGAGGGTGAACAGGTCCAGGTCCCTCAGTCTCTCCGCATAGGGCCTGTCCTGCTGCCCTCTCACCAAATTGGTGGCCCTCTTCTGAACTCTCTCCAGGCTGGCCACATCCTTTTTAAAGTGTGGTGCCCAGTACTAGACACAGTACTCCAATTGCAGCCTGACCAATGTTGCATAGAGGGGGAGTATCACCTCTCTGTACTGGCTTGTGATGCATCTTTGGATGCACGACAAGGTATGGCTGGCCTTGCTGGCTGAGGTCTGGCTTTGGCAGCTTATGTTCATCTTGGAGTCAATAATGACTCCAAGATCCCATTCCGCCTCTGTGCTTTCAAGAGGGGAACTCCCCAGCCTGTATGTATGCTGTGGATTCCTTCTCCCAAGGTGCAGCACCCTACATTTATCTATGTTGAACCCCATCCTAGTTTCATCTGCCCACTTTTGTAGTCTGTCTAAATCTAGTTGCAGGCTTTCTCTCCCTTCAAGTGTGCCCACCTCACCCCACAGGAAAGCTCCCGCAGAGGACACTATGATAACTGTTTTTGAAAATGCTAATGGAACGGTTCTCCCACAGTGTCTCCTGAAATTGAGGGTGTCAGCTGGGGGCCTCAGCTGCCAGTACACCAATGCCAGGAGCATGGGAAACAAGCAGGAGGAGTTAGCTTTCCTGCTTTCTAGTGGGCAGTATGACCTAGTAGGGATCACAGAGACCTGGTGGGACTCCTTGCATGATTGGAGCATAGCCGTACAGAGCTAAACCCTGCACAGGAGGGACCAAGCAGGGAGAAAAGGTGGAGGAGTAGTTCTGTATGTGAGGGAGCAGTTTACCTCTAAGGAGGCTGACATTGGCTCCAAAGACAAGCAGCTTGAAACCCTCTGGCTCAAACTTCAAGGGGGTGGGGTGGGGGGGTGAGGTGAGAGAGACCCAACTGTTGGTGTTTACTGTGGGCCACTGAACCAAGGGGAAGAGCTTGACTTGGAGCTCTCTCAAGTACTGACAGATGCTGTGCATGCACGGGACTTGGTTGTCATGGGTGACTTCAATTACCCGGACATAGATTAGGAGGAACACTCGGCTAGGTCGGATTGGTCATGTAGCTTCTTAACTGTAATTGAGGTGCTCTTTCTGATCCAGGAAGTGCAAGGGCCAACCAGAGATACCGTTCTCGTAGACTTGGTGTTGGCCAAAGGAGATGATCTGGTGTGTGGCTTGAATATTAAGGTTAGCCTGGGTGACAGTGACCATGAGCTTATCAGGTTCACTGTCCACCGCAAGCTTGACAGATCAACTAGCAGGATTGAAGTCCTGGACTTAAAAAATTCTGACTTCAACAGGCTCAGGGCATTAGTAGGGGAGGTGATGTGGGACCAGGGATGGAAGGCAAATGCGGTGCACAAAGAGTGGTTGTTCCTCAAGGACGCGATCCTCGAAGCACAAAAGAAAACCATTCCCATGAAGAGGAAAGGTAGCAGAAGGGCTGGCAAGCCCTCCTGGCTCAATAGGGACATTGTGGTCCTCTTGAAAACACACAGTGGAAGCTAGAGGCAGTCCTCAAGGATGACTATACAACAGTGGTCTGCACTTGTTGGAAAATGATTAGGAAAGCTAGGGTGGCGACTGAGTTTAAGTTAGCCAAGGGAGTCAAGGACAATAAGAAGTCCTTCTTTAGGTATATGGGGAGTAGAAGGAAAACAAATGGAAGCATGGGGCCCCTGTTTAACACCTTTGGACAGCTGGTAACAGACAGTCAAGAAAAAACTGAACTCCTGAATTCCCACTTCGCTTCAGTATTTCAGAGGATCAAGGGGAAAGACAAGCGAGATAAGGATCACAGGGGGCATGGTGGGAATGATAGCCTTCCCACTGTGGATGCTATACCAGTGCAAAACCAACTAGAAAAGCTAGATGTTTATAAGTCAGCAGGACCAGAGGGACTTTACCCAAGAGTGCTGATGAAGCTGGCTGAGATCATTGTGGAACCCCTGGAAAAACTCTTTCAGAAATCGTGGTGCACAGGAGAGATCCCTGAGGATTGGAAGAGGGCCAACATTGTGCCTATCTTCAAGAAGGGAAAGAGGGAGGACCTGGGCAACTATAGGCCAATCAGCCTAACCTCCATCCCAGGGGAAATCCTGGAAAAACTCATTAAAGAATCTCTGTGTGATATACTTGTGGAGGGCAAGATTCTGAATTACAGCCAGCATGGCTTCATCAGAGGTAGGTCTTGTCTTACCAACCTCATCTTCTTCTGTGAACAGGTCTCCTGCCACCTGGACACGGGAGAGAAAGTCAACTACCTAGACTTCCAAAAGGCTTTTGTTCTAGTATCCCACAATATCCCTGTGGAAAAATTGGAAGATTGTGGGCTTAACTGCTCAACAGTTCAGCGGATAGAAAACTGGCTGCATGGTAGGATAGGACCTAGAGAGTTCTTATGAACAGATCTGTGTCATCCTGGTGAGAAGCAGCCAGTGGTATCCTCAGGGGTCTGTGCTTTTCAACATCTTTATCAATGATTTGGATGTGGCGGTGAAAAGCTTGCTGTCCAAGTCTGCGGACAACACCGAGTTATGGGGGAGTGTGGTCATGCCAGAAGATAGGTTGCAGACACGGGTGGACCTGGACACGCTGGAGAGCTGGGTGGACCGGAACCAGATGAAGTTCAACACTCAGAAATTTAAGGTGCTCCACTGGGGGCAAACAATTCCCAGCATACCTACAGGCTTGGTGGTAACAATTTGACTTGTACCATGGCCAAAAGGGACCTCGGGGCAGTGATCGACCATGGCATGAACATGAGCCAGCGGTACGATGCTGTGGCCATCAGGGCAAACAACACGCTGGCATGCGTTAATCGTTGCATCTCATGCAAAACTAAGGAAGTGATACTCCCACTGTACCATGCACCGGTGAAACTGCCGCTCAAGTACTGTGTCCAGTTTTGGGAACCACACTTGAACAAGGATGTGGAAAAACTTGAAAGGATCCAGAGAAGATCCACTCATATGATCAGGGACTTGCAAGACAAGTCATAGAAGGAGAGGCTGAGGGACCTGGGCCTCTTCAGCCTACAGAAGAGAATGCTGAGAGGGGGCTTGGAAGCAGCTTACCACTACATCAGGGGAGTACATAAAG